ACAGAGACAGACAGTGATATAGACCCGGACAATAACTTTCTCTCTTCAATTTCTCACAATTGCACTTATTTCACCCAAGATCAATATGTAAACAATGTAAAATCAGAAAACAACCTGTCAATCATACATTTTAACAGTCGAAGCATGTACTCTAACTTTGAAGCCATAAAAGATTACTTGAAGCAATTTACTCATCCATTTAGTATCATTGCAATAACTGAAACCTGGTTCAATGAGCACAAAGATAATATATTTTTTCTCGATGATTATGAACTAAGATACACAAACAGAACAAACAAAACAGGAGGTGGTGTTGCCATATACATCCACAAATCAATAACATTTTATGTTGTAAAAAATATGTCAGTAGCTGTGGATGGCTTGTTTGAATGTTTAACAGTGGAAATACTAAATGAGAAAAAGACTAATATCTTCATGAGCTGTATATATCGGACACCTGGTTCGAGCATAGACAGCTTTAATGAGTGGATGGGTAAACTGTTTTCTTCTGTCAATCAAAAAAACATATTTATTTGTGGTGACTTTAATATCAATTTGCTTAATCCGACCAAGTTAAAAACTGTTGATGACTTCATTGACACCATGTACAGCCTTTCTCTATATCCAACTATAACAAAACCAAGCAGAATAACATCACACAGTGCCACCATCATTGACAATATCTTTACAAACATAATCGGGAATAAAATCAGCAGTGGACTTTTGGTATGTGACATCACTGACCACTTACCTATATTTACTCTGTACGATTGTAATCTAAAAAAAACTCAGGACAATACAGCAAAAATATTTAAACGTATAATCACTGATGAAACAATCCTCACCCTAAACAACAGTCTGTTGCTCCAGGATTGGACCAAGGTTTACAACGAACCAGATGTGGACAGTGCTTATTGTACCTTTTTAGACATCTTTACTTCATTGCATGATAAGCACTGCCCGGTAAAGGAATATTTCATAAAGGAAAAATGTAAACAAAGCCCTTGGATTACAAAAGGAATACTTAATGCCTGTAAAAAGAAAAACAATCTCTACAGAATGTTTCTCAAAGTTAAAACAGCAGAAGTGGAACAAAGATATAAGAAATACAAAAATAAATTAACGGATATCATAAGAACAAGTAAACGGTTATACTATGAAAACAAACTGTATGAAAATAAAAATAATATGAAAGGAACTTGGGGTACTTTGAATAGCCTAATCAAACAAGGACATTCAAAGTTAACATATCCTGATCATTTTGTTCTTGAAAATGGTGAAGATTATAATATTAGAAATATAGTAAATAAGTTTAATGATTACTTTGCAAATATTGGGTCTAAATTAGCTGCTGATATTCAAGACAATGAAGTTACAGAATCCCCTATTAAACAAAATTCTTGGTCGTTCTTCCTCTCAGCAACAAATGAGCAGGAAGTAACACAAATCGTACAGACATGTAAAAGTAAGTCGTCCACTGACTGCCATGATATCAATATGACCGTGATTAAAAAAGTTATTCTGAATATTGTTAAACCCCTAACTTACATCTGTAATTTATCATTCCAGACCGGTTCTTTTCCAAATAAAATGAAAATTGCGAAAGTAATTCCACTGTTCAAAAATGGAAACAAACATGAATTTTCCAATTACAGACCCATCTCTCTATTGCCTCAGTTTTCAAAGATTCTCGAGAAGCTTTTCAATTCACGACTTGAAAAGTTTCTGGAGAAACATCATATAATAAATGAAGGTCAGTATGGTTTCAGATCCAAAAGAACAACATCAATGGCAGTAATTGAAGCAATTGAAGACATCTCAAATGCATTAGAGCAGAAAAAGTATACAGTTGGTATTTTTGTTGATCTTCAAAAGGCTTTTGACACCATTAACCACTCAATACTACTAAAAAAGATGGAAAGATACGGAATTAGAGGACTGGCTGGGGAATGGATCAAAAGTTACTTAACAGGGAGGGTACAGTTTGTTAAAATGGGTCAGTATTTTTCAGACACGGTTGGCATTACTTGCGGTGTCCCCCAGGGGTCAGTATTGGGTCCTAAACTGTTTAACATATATATGAATGACATTTTTAATACATCTAAAGTACTAAAACTAATTCTATTTGCTGACGACACAACTATTCTATACAGTGGTGATGATTATAATGAGCTTGTAATCTCCGTAAACAAGGAACTACATCAAATAAAAAAGTGGATGGATGCAAATAAATTATCCTTGAATGTAAATAAAACTAAGATGATGATGTTTGGGAATCGCAACCTAACGTCTGAATCGAGAATAAGTATTAATGATATCCAAATTGAAATGGTAAGTGAAATTAAGTTTTTGGGAGTAAAAATTGATAGCAAGTTGTCATGGAAACCCCACGTCAGACACATAAAAACCAAAATTTCCAAAAGCCTCTCAATTATTAACAAAGCAAAACTATACCTAAATGGAAATGCACTCCGTACATTATACTGCAGCCTGGTTCTTCCATACCTGACGTATTGTGTTGAGGTCTGGGGTAACACTTACCACACACACACTACATCCTCTCATCATATTACAGAAAAGAGCAGTGCGGATCATCCATAAGGTTGGTTTTCTGGAACATACTCATAATCTTTTTACTCAGTCAAAGCTGCTAAAGTTTGATGATCTTGTTAAATATAATACATCAATAGTCTTGTATAAAGCATTCAACAAATTATTACCGTCTAACCTGCAGCGTTTCTTTACGACTCCTGAGCGAGCTCATAACTTGAGGGGTTTTGGATATTTTTCACTGCCAAGATCAAAAACCACTCGTAAATGTTTTTGTCTGTCAGTATGTGGAGTAAAACTTTGGAATAAACTGGACTCACAACATAAGCATTGTAAAACTATTCATCGATTTAAACTGTTCTATAAACATAAGGTCTGGTTACAATATAGAGATGAGGGTCTTTAATTTAATCAGATTTTCTCTGTCTCATAGTGTAACATGTGCTCAATGTTCCATTACCTTGTTAGTATATAGAATCTTGCTATTGTTGTTTTTTTCTTTTTTTTGTTCATTACCATTGTTGGTATATTTTCTATTACCATTGTTGGTATATTTTCTATTACCATTATTGGTAACTGTTGTTACAATGTAAATGTCCTTGTTGCCCGTGATAACGCCACTCTGGTATGATACTGGCTTGAACTGTAACAGTGAAGTTGATCGTTTAATCACTGAAATGGGGATATAGGGGTGGGATTAAATAAGTTTTTTCTTCCTCCCACTCCTTTTCAGGCAGAAATATTTGGCCATGTTAAACCATAGATTTTTGTTTATACATTTTTTGTTTACACTGTTTTTTTGTTTTTTTATTGTGTTTGTCTGTTTTGTTTTTTGCTTTATATTATTTATATTACTTAATTGCTTTTAATTACCTCGTTTTCTCACTTTTGCCATTGCCTGAAATAAATTAATAAAGAAAGAAAGAAGAAAGATATAACCAATATATCAAAATAAAACCAGGTAAAAGTGATAAAAACGTCCACACCATGACAAGTCTATTAGTTGGCAGATTCATTCTTTACAGCAAGGTCTGATTATGAGATTTCTTAAGCTAAAAATATGTATAATCAGTAAATTTCCTTCAGCTCCAGACATGCAGACATGCTGAGCCACTGCTCCTGACAGAGTCCTGATAACCAAATCACGGCGGCGCATTGGGAGCCGAGTTTGAACAGAATTCTCTCCTGCACATTCTGTATTTCTTGACCTACATTCCAACTTTCCAACATGGTGACACTGTCTGCATCTTTACCGACCGTTAGTTACTGCAAACACAAACAAATATAAAAAAAAAAAGTGGTTTCAGGAGTGACTTAGAAAAGGATAGACAGGCGATAGTTCTGTCTGTCCCACCGCATACCCTCCTAACCAAATATTCAGCAGGCATGAAGAAAAACCGGGCTGTGCATTCCTGTAATCCTCTGGGGTCCGCAGACACTGGAGCTCATGTAGATCCAGAGCGGTGCAAAAAGACTCTCTGAAGCCACGAAAAAGAAAACATATTCAAGACACGCTGCACTCTTGTCTGCTCTGTGCTTTACAGGCCAAGAAAGGACACATTATTCAACACTTTTTTTGTTCAGCCACAAATCACACCAACAGTCGTCTTGGAGGACTTTACAAAGTTTGCCAACGACAGATCAGAGAATCAAACAGCTTTGACACAGGAAATGCAACAATAACAAACACGTAGGAGCCATAGGACCAAGCAAACTCCACAAAAAATTGAGTTTGGGAAATTGAACCCAGGACTTTCTTGCTGTGAAGTAAACACGCTAACCACTGCGCCACTGTGTCTTCCGAGATGTGAATCCAGGACTCATCATACAAAATTGTTCTCGGGGCAAAAAAAATGGCGCCCTTCATATTAATATTAACCCCTCCCCTTCACAAAACACCATGTCCAGCATCTGTTCACAGGTCGAGGTGAAGACATTTTCATCATCTTTCTATATTTATATAGCGCCTTTCACAGACCAGAGTCACAAAGCGGTTTACGACGCGGTTTATGTCTCTCACTCCACACAGGGAGCGGGTCATGCCTCCTGTACTGGAGACATTTTCACACAAACTGTGAAAATGCAAATGACTCATACTTTTCTCACTGGCTGAAATCAAAGTTCCAACTTTTGAAAAGCAATTTCAGCAACAGAACGGAATAATTCTGAACTGAATAACCGGTATCAATATTGGAACTGTACAAAAAAGAATGCACCTTGTTATTCTGCTCTTTGTAAAGCTGCTGCCACAAAAGGTGAAAACCTACTCTTCACGGAGACAACGGCAAATAGCAATTATTTTTGTACAACTGATCTAAAACAGGTGAGAACAATACTTATATCTTTTCACAAACCAAACTGTATGTGTGGGAGAAAGATTACTACATTCTGATATATCCAAGATGTTCATTTCCAAGTCCTTTGGGGAGCGACCTGGAAGCGGTGGCGAGCTACAGGTCGCTCCCGAGCTGCAGGTTGCTCCCGAGCTGCAGGTCGCTCCCGAGCTGCAAGTCGCTCCCGAGCTGCAGGTCGCTCCCCAGCTGCAGGTCGCTCCCGAGCTGCAGGTCGCTCCCGAGCTGCAGGTCGCTCCCCAGCTGCAGGTCGCTCCCGAGCTGCAGGTCGCTCCCCAGCTGCAGGTCGCTCCCGAGCTGCAGGTCGCTCCCGAGCTGCAGGTCGCTCCCGAGCTGCAGGTCGCTCCCCAGCTGCAGGTCGCTCCCGAGCTGCAGGTCGCTCCCCAGCTGCAGGTCGCTCCCGAGCTGCAGGTCGCTCCCGAGCTGCAGGTCGCTCCCCAGCTGCAGGTCGCTCCCGAGCTGCAGGTCGCTCCCGAGCTGCAGGTCGCTCCCGAGCTGCAGGTTGCTCCTGAGCTACAGGTTGGCGAGCGTAAAAAACACTTTTCAACAGTGTCAACGACACATTTCCAAATAGCAAACAATACTACTTTTAAAACATGAAACAGTCAACAGATGTTGTTAATATATACATAAGTTAAATAAAACAGGCCCAAGTACTGAACCCTGTGGACTTTCACTGTTTTCAAACATTGGGATTCTGTGTCGTCCATCATCACATACTCTTGTCTGTCTGTTCTCCAACTAGCTCCTCACCCGAGTCAATACAATTCTCTGTATAAAATGATTCTTATTTTCATCTTATATTTGATATTTATCAGTTTTTTTTATTCATTTCCTGGTTTATTACATCAGAGGCTTTTTAAAAGGTACAAACAAACTCCTACGGCCTGTTTCTTGTTCAAAAGTTTCTTCTATAAGTTTTGTCAAGGCTAATGCCCTGGATCGATTTTGTCTGAATCCAAATTGATTGTCTGAGAGCAGGTTGTGTTGTTCTATAAATTCATCTAATCTACTGTGGAATACTTCTTGTAAAACTTTTCAGAAATGTGAGCGTAGAGAAACAGGGAGGTGATGTGTCAAGTGGTGCTTATAACCAGAGAATGTCCACAATTAATCCTTGTTTTGTGCTGCTTTTTCTCAAAATTTTGAATTGATCCAAGTCTAAAAAGCCTTGATCACGACACTTTGACAGCAGCAGATCATGGGCAGCAGAAACAAATGAACTGGACCCGTCACAATAATTACTAAATCGACTCATCATTCAATAACTTGTGGATAAAACAGTAAAAAACAGACAATCTCTATAGTCATTGTCTGTACATTTGTGTTAGTTAATTTGTGAATGCTGAAGTTTTAGCTGTAGAGCAGTGGTCTCAAACATGTGGTTCTTGTACCATTTGAGGCCCCAGCAAAAGTAGGTTGCGGTTTAATGTCACTGCGGTCCTCACACTGAGAGTCTGGGCATGTTATACATCATTTTAAAGCTAATTTTATCAGGAAAACCATTTATATTACCATAGACATTGAAACCTGAATGCCATAAGTAATAATTCAAAGTGAACATTAGTCTGCCCAGTAGTCTTCATTGCTTTTGGTCCAGTTTTGTTTCAGCCCAAACAGCTGAACTGATTTTGCTCACCAGAAATACATTTTACAAATCTATTCTCTTATTCAATAAAAGTAATTGTTTGGTCAAAACACCTTTTAAGATTAGAAAAAGTCACAAATGCAGATGCTGGAGTTATAAAACTTTCCACAAACTCTTGTTTTCGTCTCTCTCTTTTCCGAAAGTACAAATGCTGACTTTCTCCACAGTTATCGTTAAAGACTGAGGAGATCGGACAGCTTGAAACCTATAGGGGTATATTTATCAACCCAGGAGCTAAACTGTGTGTGCAAAGTAAAATAGCGTTTGCAATTTTAGTTGTTTAATTCTAAATGTGCACATGTGCAGATACACATAAACAAAACTGGTGTAAATATTGTTTTGTGAACAGCATGCTGGATTGACTCCAGGAAGAATAGCTGTACTTATTACAGCTAATGGAGATCAAAATAAATACAAATATGCTAAATACACCCCTTACTACGGCACCAGCTTCACTCGCCCTCAGTTTGAGACCCCTGCTGTAGTGGGTTTAATATGTCTAAATATTATGTAATTCTCATGCTTATTACCGCATGCTTTTTAATCAGAGTCGGTTCATTGCTATTGTCGGTGAACAGGGAAATCACGAGCTACCAATGTGTTCTGGCATTTACGGAGCAATAAAATAACAAAAATTCAATAATAAACAAGAAATACCATGAAAGCCCCACTGAGATTTTATAATATGTATTTCAGGGGAATAGGTTTAGATTAGATTATGTATTTGAACCTGTACAACCCATATTTGTGTGAAAAGAGGTTGGAATGATTAAATGGCATGCACACACGCACCAATATCAGCAGTAGAATTCAAAAACACACAATAGTACAGCACATGACACTACCATAGGGAGTCCCGGCACAACAATCGTAATAACACATTCTGAAATATGCATTGTCACAAACTGGCTCCAGGTTCGGACAACAACGGAGTCCACACATCTTTAAAAATGTACAACAATAAAAATATTAATCTAAAATGGAGAGAGGCATCCATTGGCTTCCTGACTATTGAATGTGGCCGTTCCCACCCATCTCCAGGTGCTGCTAGTCCCAAATAGCTCCTCTCCCATTGGCTGGATCCTGCAAGGAGGAGAAAGCAACACACAAACCAGACAAGACTGGGGTCGTCACAATATAAATTAAATTGATACATTAAAAATGTATTTTACGGCATTAACCTGCTATACTGTACAACATTTTCTTTTCTTGCATATCATAGCACTGCATACACGCCACAGAGACATCTTTTCTTCCATCCGCAATAGAATCAAATACAAAATCGCTCGTATTCATTGAGAATATCTGTTTATGCAGTAACAAAACGCTTTGTTGGATGGAAGCTGGTGAGAACAGAACCATTTTAAAGAAGAAAAGATGGATACCGAGACAAACAGTATCATAGGCCCAATGCAAGCAATTTATAACATCTACAACCTTCCCTTCCTCACCTGTTTTTAAGTCAGTTATTTTGCCAAAATATTGAGGGAGGAAACTGTCCTGAATGATTTGATTTTCAGAAACAAAAGAGGAATGTGTGTGTCTTTTTTGGCATTTCCTATGTGTTTGAAAGGATCTGTGTCGGCCTGTCTTTGTAAAGTCTTGCGAGATGACTACTGTTGTGATTTAGGGCTATACAAAAAATTGTGAATTGAAATTTGAGTGGGTAGATGAAAAACAATTCAAAACACGTCGCTTTTGAAGTAAGGATTTGTTTGGAGCCGACAGCCACTGCCTGTACTCCAACACACGGCATTATTTGCAGCCCTGCACGTGCCGCTCAATGACTGTACTTTGACAGAAAATTGCAGTATTTAGAACCAGCCTCAATTTGGGGCTGACAGGTAAAGCTGAAGATTAAGGCACATCTCTGCGAAGAAGTCTGATGCAAGTGTGGGGCCGGACCAAAGCGGTAGTTTGTAAATATTTCTGCAAAACAATCCAGGAGGACTTCGGTGTGTGTGAGAAAAATAGGCAGAAAAACAAACAAACAAACAAACAAACACTTTTCCAACCATTCCACATCCAAGCACCCTCTGTTCTTGGACAAAAGGCACATGAAACATTTTTGTGATTATTTCTGCATGATTTCTTCTACAAGAATTACACAAAAACATTCAGAAAACTTTGGCATAAACACCAAAGAAGATATTAGTTCCATTTCAATTCTATCAAACAGCTAGAACACAGGAGATGCATATAGTAACAAACACATATGAGCCAATGAATGCGAATTTGGTGCAGCTCTGATTGCCACCTCCGACAACACAGAAATGGATGAAGGAGAAGAAATTGTATGGATGGATGGATGGACATAGGAGCCATTGGTCCATAGGGAGTGGAATTACTAATGTCCATAAATATTACTAAATGTCCTTAAATGTCCATAATTGTGCATCTGCATGGATGTCCACTGTTCATAAATGTTGATAAATGTCCCAGATAATTACTGTATTAATTTATACTTCATTATCTTGGTGGCTGGGTTTGTCATGTTAAAGCAATGGTCGCTTATTCCCCAAACTATCCACTCTTTTAGCTACAAACCGACACAAATACATGCAGTATCATTACCTCTTAAAGTCAAGTTATACAGGAATTAGTGCTGTCCAACGATTAAAATATTTAATCGCGATTAATCGCATGAATTTCATAGTTAACTCGCGATTAATCGCAAATTAGTCACACATTTGCGTGCTGTGTGCAATTGCTTTTTTTATTGAAAACAATGTGTAGTGTTATATTACACACTAACATTTGATGCAAAATCATCAATAAATGGATGACAAAATAAATAATTGGTAACAAAAAGCCCCTTCAATGTGTGTGTGTGGGTGTGTGTGTGTATGTGTGGGTATAGACCATAGACTGTATAGAAACATCATGGTGTCATTATGATGATGATAAACAATCTGTAAATATTTTGTAAATTTGTTAATGTAAATACTCTATGCTGTTTCTCTGTTTACCTTTGGTATATCTATGACTGTATACTGTTTGCTTGTATTGCCTTTTTTATTAACCCCTCCCCCCATCTCCCACTTCATGTCCCCCCCCCCCCCCCCCCCTCCCCTCCTATGTGCCCTTCTGGGTTTCTTCTTTGGCCCCCTGTATCTCCAACTACATATTGTTTGTAATCTCTGTCTACAATGTATCTGAACTAGTCCTTTTCTTTGTTTCTATGTGTTTGTCTGCAATAAAAAGTAAAAAAAAAAAAAAAAAAAAAAAAAAAACTTTTTTTTTTTTTTTTTTTTTTATTGCGCGATAAAAAAAATGACGGCGTTAATATTGATTTGCGTTAACGCGTTAATAACGCGCTATTTTGGACAGCCCTAACAGGAATATGTTAAAAGCTGGAATACCCAACTTTTAAACCACAAAAAATTAACTACGTGCAGCTTAATGGTCCTGGGTTTGATTCCAACTCCAGATCTCTCTGAGTGGAGTTTGCATGTTCTCCCTGTGTCTTCTCCGGTTTCCCCTCCCACTACAAATATTTACAATGGCTCCCCTCTCTCTGGAGCCAGGACTCCCCTGAAAAAAAAAGAGATGCTGAAATCTCAGTGGGACTTAAATAGATTAGAATCCTTGCCACTATTTTTTGGTTTGGTTTTATGTCACACATGTATTTTTTTGGCCTCTGTCACACATCAGATCTTTGTTTTGTCTAAAGGTCGTATTAGCTACAATCTTCAACATGTTTTGTTATGGGCAGTGCATTTGAAAGACAGGGTGAAACTGTATTTGTATGGCACCAAAGTAGATCTGGCTTTCAAGAAAACCGCTTTGTAAGCCTTTCAAATAAGTTTCTAATGGCAGTTATTTGTTGCAAAGGAACTATTCATTTTTAAATCAGCTTTTTCTGTGAGAAAGAGAGGATCAGCCCTCTCCGAGCCACCTCTCAGTATGTCAAATATCAAATGTTTTCTTGTCAATTTCTTACAGGATGTTATAGACCTTTGGGACCTACAAACAAAAACTCTAGCTTTAAGGGCCAAACTTTAAATCTATGTATAATTGCAAGTCTGTGAAAACTTCTTTGAGACCCTTCTCTTTGCCTTGGGGGATCACAAAGTCCTAATGGGAGCACGTATTCTTGGACAAAGATGAGCAAGCATGTGGGTGGAGAGGCCTGGGAATAGAGAGAGGGCCAGGCCATACAACCCCAGGGCTTTCACCACCGGATTACATTGGAAAATACACTATAAAAATGCATGAAAACCTGGCATTAGCTTTTAAACGTAACCAGGATGAGTCGTTTCTAACAGGAGTCTGTCTTATCTCACCGTTATCAGCACATTCAAGTTATCTTCCTTGTGGCTAAAATATGTAATTGCTTAAGGCATGGTGGCGGGGCGCCCTGCAGGCGGGAACTTGGTATCTCCTCGACTACTAGGTCACTGTTTAATATATAACCGCAGAATTCCTTGCAGAGCTCATTAATCTGGACTTTCACTTTACCCCAGTGTCGCAGAGAGCAGCAGGCCACAATGAGGGCCGAGCACTTTGTCTAAAGGAGCTCTCCCTCTCGCAGCAGGAGGTGAGAGTGTGGGATCTGTCAAACACATTCACATCACCACCACCAGCAACAATGTCTTGGCTTTTCATGAAACTAAACAGATAATTTGCCGTTTCGTGTTAACGCATGGACTCCCGGAATGTTGGAACTACACGAGAATTCCCAGAGTGGTCGTTCAAACCAATGGAATTCTGGAAAAAAAATTATATCTTTATAATTTTTATATTTTACTCACTTTAATTAGATACTAAAACCGGCAAAACACAGTAAAACAGTTGGGTTAAACTATAATAACTGCTACAGGTAAACAGTGTGTTGCTATGGTAACTATTACTGCTCTGGCAACCAAAGCTGGAGCAGAACCAGTCCAGGACCATTGGAGAGAAGGGGCTGTAGAATGTTGATTGCCGAGCGACCAAAAATGGCTACATCGAAAAGAATGGAGCGGTCAAAATGATCAAGGTGCACTTTATTGATCCCCGTAGGGCAACTAATCCTCTGCATTTGACCCATCTTCATGCCACTAGGGCATCTGTCAGAAGCAGTGGTCGCCGTAGTAACAGCACCCGGAAACCAATCTCCAGATTTTGATGCTTGGCTTGGTCAGGACTGCCGAAGCTGGAGGATTTTTACCTATTGAGCATGTTTTAGTGGAAGGAGAAACCGGAGCACTCCACTCAGAAAGACCCTGTTCTGACTGGGATTCCAACCCAGGATCTTTTTGCTGAGAAAGCGAGAATTTCTTTAAAATTACTACTCTGGAAGTTTTAAGGTACGACGTGCATTTTAAAAATAAGAAAATTGTGTAATAAAAGTAATGACACACAATGTTCTGAAGAGAAAAAATGTGGTTAGCACTTGTGCTTCACAGCAAGAAGGTTCTGCAGGTTTCGATTCCACCTCCAGACAGGGCCTTTCTGTGTGGAGTTTGCATATTTTCTTTGTGTCAGTGTAAGTTTCCTCCAGGTGCTCCGGTTTCGACTACCACTAAAAACATGTTCAATGGTTCTGAATGTAATGAGTGAGTGGATGATGATGGTCAAAGGCTTAGTGTGGAGAGAATGGAAATGACCACTAAAACAAGAATATTTTTGGAGTGACCTTGGTCTGTGAAATGCGCTGTACTGTATGAATAAATACTTACTTGCTTACTTCGTCAAATTTACTGCTCTTGGAATTCTAGTGTTATGAAAATGGTCTGACAGTTACACGTTCTTTCACTGCATTGTCATGTGGCTGCTTCTGTCTCTCTGCTCGTACACGGCTTTTATCTCTGTGACGTGTGTTCATTCTTAGCGACTGCTGCTGCTTAAAATCAGAGCCACGTTCTGTTCTTGTCGTTAAAAGGCAGAGCGCCGCTGCACTGACTCCCACCTGCACCGCTGGCTTTACCTCAGAGGCTCTTAGTGTCACGCCTAATACTGTGCCAGTCTGTATCGAGTCTGACAAGTGTAACTGTGAGTGGGTTCACAGGTGTCAAATACAAAACTTCTCACCGTATTTCAGCATTTAGATAACGCTACAAATATACATCTTGTGCAAGGCCCTAAAATATCTAAATATATGTATCTTTATAAAACCCCTTTACAGTAATATCTCTTGAATGGTGTTGAATCAGTTACAGCTTTAGGGCACAGCATTAAACAATTCATTATGATTCAATGTATTTTTGTTTAGTTCCATATGATAAAAATAATAATAATGATAATAATGCATTGGTTTTACGTAGTGCTTTCCAGGACACTCACTGACGCTTCACATGCCATTATTCATCCACAGCTGCCCTGGGGCACACTGACAGAAGCGGGGCAACCAGTATGTGCCACCAACCAACCATTCACACACACACCAGACTCATTCTAGGCAATGTGGGTGAAGTGTTTCCCATTGCAGTGTTACCCAGGCCCGGCCCTGCTTAGCTTCAGAGGTTTGACATGATCCTCTCGTGCGTAAGTCTCTCCATGGCCTACATCTGTGACATGTTAGTGTCATATGAACCAACTCGGACTCTGACTGACCTCCTGCTGGTGCCCAGAGTCAGAGAAGTCAGCATTCCATATTTATGAATCTTACTGAAAATGTGAGACAGGCTTCTACTCTGACAATGCGCAATTCCAGATTAAAAAACTTCTGTTCGGACTTGCGTACAACAAATGAATTGCATGTGTTCTTCTTTGATAATGATTACAATTATATGCATGTGGTTCCTGAATTCTACAAACTTGCCTGACATAAAAACATACAGCACATGTGAACGTCTCCCAACATCTGACTCTTTGATCGCGTGTAATCGCCAGAGCCACATCTGGAGAATATTTATGAATGGAGTTTGTCACAACAGACTTCGCCTCCTCTGTTGCCTCAGACGATCTTTGCTTTTATTTAAGGACAGAGTTCAGAAGAAAGCCCAGTTTCACATACGCGCTGAATGTGTGTGTGGAGTCTCCGTCGCCCTTCCCTGATGAGTCATGTGGGTCATGATAGCAAAAAGAAACATGGTCTCACATTTGGGAAGCTCATTGGGCACTGCACTCTTGGTTTTGTGCACACAACAAAAAGGAAATGTCCCAAACTGTGAGGATGATGTTTTGTTAAACTTCTCTTCTCCGTTCCAAAGCCGCTCATGTCCCACATTTTCTTTGAACAAACTTATTTCAAAAGATTTGGCAAAATCCTGCGTGCTCCGTGCTCCTAATCCTTTGTGCATTTTCAAGTACAGGCCCACGGCTAGCTTTCATCATGAGTGTTTGCGAACTCTTACCACTTACCCCTTTGGTTTCCCCGAGTTTGCACAAACAAGCAAACGGCATATTTTCATCATGTTTTAGCAGGTATTTAGAAAGATCTTGCATAAATTAGTGGGAAGTGACCCATTGTCTGTACCGTGGATGTGTTAGTAGATTAATGATTGAAACGTAGATGCCCTTCCGACGGTGACAGAGAGTCAAAAGAACATTTCTCACTGGTTTTAACAGAAGGGAGCACATCACCCCTGTTTAAGCATCCCTCCAGTGGCTCCTTGTGCGTTTTAGAATTGATTTTAAGATTTTACTGATTACTTTTTAAAGCTCCCCACCCCCCGCATCCTCAGGCAGGTCCCTGTTGACTGTTCCAAGGTCGACACTCCGGACGAAAGGTGACCGAGTCTTCTCTGTCCGTGCTCCTCGGCTTTGGAACGACCTGCCCGAGGAGATGAGGCTAGCACCATCAGTATCCTCTTTTAAATCATTTCTTAAAACCGACTTTTATCAAACAGCTTTTAATTGTCAGCTTTAAACTTATAATGTTATATTTAATTATCTGTCTTGTTCTGTCTTTCTTCTTGTGTTTCCTCTGTTTGTCTCGTCTTCTTGTACTCTATTGTAGCGGCAGGTAGTTTGTCCCTTCCTGGCTACCATACACTACTGCACCCGGCACACATGCCCCTCTCCTCACATTTCCGTATTGGCTCAGTAGCGATCAGCAACAGTACTTTTAGACACCCCAGTGCACAGGAAGGTAAGCTGCTGTCAGGCTTCAATCGTTCTGCCAGATCTTGAGTAGCCGCCAGGTAGGTGTTCCCTGTTGTTGTACGATACGAGCCGTAGGTTAACGTGAGTGTTTCTTTCTTCCTTTGTTGCAGACGCTTTTCAGCAGCCTGCTACCACGGCCACTGGTTAAAAGTCGTGTGTGGCCATGTCTCCTCACTAACTTTGTACATAGTGCTCATGGTATTATACACTGTTGTGCTCTTTTGTTTGTGTAGTTATGTGGCATGAAACTAATAGCCATTTGTTTCATAGATGCTGTTGGCCACTGCTGTTTTGTTTTGTTTTCATTTAAGTAGTGTTTCTTGTTTTGGTTTTTGTCTTTTTATTTAGTCTTATCATTTACTTAGTATAGTTTTGTTTAAGGCATAGCTATTTACTTTTCTTTCGTTTTGTTCTCCATTACCCATTTTTACCCCTGAGATCTGCATTTCTTCCCCCAAGGTCTGGTCCGGGCGTGGTCGTCCCTGGTGGAGGTTTGGTGGCATGTATGTTGTGGTTAGGGTTGCCAACTGTCCCGTATTATAGAAAAACTATGTGAACTGATACGGGATGGCTTTTGTCCCGCATTTTCAGAGCCACCTTGAATGCATCACTCACTCACTGCATTTCATCCTGGAGAGACCCACAACGGGGAATGCAATTAGAAGTTTATTTGATTAAGCATGTTTGGCGCCCTAGGCCCCGGAGCGATGATGTTGAGCGCGGCGCTTGCTCATAATCCCCCCCCCCCAGGGCCTAGGCACTGGTGGCGGCAGAGGCAGCAGGCAAGCACGCTCGAAATGGTAGAAGGAGGAGGTGTGGCGGCGGAGGATGCAAAGCTTGAGAAGGCCGGGAATTGGGCGTCTCCGGCTTTTAACTTGCTGGCCTGGCGGTTATTGGTTGACTGGAAGTGGGTGTTGCTGTGCGATGAGCCGAGGATGAGAGCAGGCCTGGAGGAGCTGAGCAGCAGGCCAGGTCTACCAGGGTGAACTTACGCAAGCTTCATTTCATCCTGGAGAGACCCACAACGGGGAATGCAATTAGAAGTTTATTTGATTAAGCATGTTTGGCGCCCTAGGCCCTGGAGCGATGATGTTGAGCGCGGCGCTTGCTCGCGCTCATAATCCCCCAAAGATGCGGGACTGTGATGGGATAGCAGGACGCACTGCGCAGGCCTGAGAGCATGAGTGCGAGGCTTCTCGCATGGTCGCTCAGCCAGGCTGCGTCTGATGGGAGCCTGCATCTGTTTGGAGCAGAAAGAAGATGAGCGAGCTGAGAACATGAGCGCGGGGCAGCAGCACCCACTCCGGGGAGTAGAGTGCGAGTCCAGCTCGGTGCATCATGTTCGCCAGACGCTGCAAGCTAGGAGCAGGTGTTATCCCTAGCGAGCTGAGAACATGAGCGCGGGTCCGCTCTGCACCCACTCCGGGGAGTGGAGTGCGAGTCCAGCTCGGTGCATCATGTTCGCCAGACGCTGCAAGCTAGGAGCAGGTGTTATCCCTAGCGAGCTGAGAACATGAGCGCGGGTCCGCTCTGCACCCACTCCGGGGAGTGGAGTGCGAGTCCAGCTCGGTGCATCATGTTCGCCAGACGCTGCAAACTAGGAGCAGGGGGAGAGCGTTGAGGGGAGTGCGTGCCGCCACCAGGAGTCTTATGCTTATGCTTGCCTGCCTTGCTTGCTGGGAGCTTATGAGGATGCCAGTAGTCGCTGTGCTGCGATGATAGTTGAATCTGGCTTGATGTAGTGGAGAGAGCCGACGAGGACCAGCGCCCCAGCTGTTGCAAGAGGAATGGGGGAGCCCCAGCGAGGCCGCGCGCGTGGCAGCGCCTGTCCTGAACGAGTGGGCTGTGTAGAGCTGGGGAGACAATTGCAGAGGAGCAGTAGGGATTTTAGCTGAGCTCTGAACCAGGTTGCTGTCATGGGAAGGTTGTCTGGAGTGAGAAATAAAGGTCCGTTAAGATCTCCTTTTTGACAGCGGAGGTGAAAGAAACGCATCACGGACTTGTAGGGGCAGAGAGACGTATCGGAGCGGGCTATTATTATGTTGCAAGCGCCCTTACGCTTAGAATTCTTGAGGTAGAGATTAAATAATCAGGATAGTAGGACAGGTCGGGGAAAGCCGTGTCTCGGGCCACATTGAAGTTGAGTGAGCAGTAGGGAACTCGCTTATGCGGAGAAGGTCGTAGAAGGCGAGCAGGAAGACACTGCGAAGGAGGGCAGATGTGTGCTTGGAAAATGAGCCGGAGTTCAGTGCCGCGCAGAGCAGCTGCAGGATGGGCAGCGTGATGGGGAGCGGGATGAGGAGTACAGTTATGGATGCCTTGATGAGGAGTTTGACTGCTCGGACCGAGGACACTTCAGCACGGCTACTCTGCCAGCTGCACCTGATAGAAGCAGAGAATTAAGCAGAGAGATGAAGCATGACAGCCGGAGCAAACCTGAGAGCATGGTGCGAGACAGCTCAGCACAGCTCTGCATCTATTTAGTATGGATTTGAGTTGGGTTCCGGACCAGTTAGCCGTCATGGGGAGGTTGTCGGGAGAGCTGATAGATAGCCATGGTGCAGTGACGGCACGGCTGAGACACCGATGACCAAGGAGGAGAATGGAGCAGCAATGAGGGAAGGAAGCCTGGTTACTGCTTGCAGTTTGTGCGCTGAGGTTTGAACTGGATCCTGCCCAGGGAGACTGGAACAGAAAAGATTTATGAATGACACTGAATGATAAGGAGGGATTGACTGTTAGTATGAGATCTCCAGATCCCCAAAACAGCGGTGCACGAGGGGGACCCGACCTGGACGGGGCCCGAGAGAGTCCAGCAAGGCGAAGCGCGAGCCACCCTGGCGGCGAGAGCAGCGCCGGGATCCCGAGAAGCAGTGTGCGGAGAACGCCGGGAAGCAGCCGCCAACGGCCGTACGGCAGGTGCCCACAAAGTGGACGCGAGCCACCAGCACAGGCACCGGCACAGGCACCGGCACAGGCACCGGCACAGGCACCGGCAGAGGCACCAGCAGAGGCACCGGCACAGGCACCGGCACAGGCACCGGCAGAGGCACCGGCAGAGGCACCGGCACAGGAACCGGCAGAAGCACCGGCACAGGCACCGGCACAGGCACAGGCACAGGCACCGGCACAGGCACCGACAGAGGCACCAGCACAGGCACCAGCACAGGCACCAGTAGACAGACAGAGCCTGCAGACCAGTGCGCATAATCCACCATTATACTGTAGTGATTTCATAACACCTTTAAGCAACTATGGTTAAAGTTCTAACTACATTCTTACATATGCAGAAGCCTGTACTTTTCCACTTGATGTTGTCCATCTGAAGGCCAAGCTACAAGCACACCGTGGCAGCTGCTGATTGAAGCTCTCCATGCCTCCGCTCTGTATAATACACTGCATTTTGTTGCATCTTTGTCCGTGCTGTCTCGACCATTGACAATAAAACCATGTCTTGACTTTTGCTCTGTCTGAATCAACTACCATTTTTGCGAATAAACAACCAAGCTGGATGCATGTCTCAGTCTGATTTCCCACAATACATCAGAAAGAAAATACAGAACCAATATTCCCATGCAAATAAACGGATGTCGTTCCATACAGCCATCTTTGCTGCTTTGGTTATAGCCAATATACATGAACGATCACTTTTCTATCTGTTCATTAGCTCCAATTCCACTTCACACTCATTGCAGATTTTTTTTTTTTTTACTTTCTGCTGCGCCGTTGAATGCAACATGACGTAGTTTAGTTACCTAATCATTTAAACTAGTGACCTATGCCATTTAATGCACAGCCCCTCCTTTATCCCTCAGATAACTAAAGATGAATGCTATTTATGAATAAATGTACTGATCTCTCCTGTGTGAGATTAAATAAACAACGAGTTACAGGTTAGCAGAAGCTGCAAGTTAGCTGAACACATGTTAAAACGGAGCCTGCAGTCCAGTGCGCAGGGCAAAAACCAACCGCCTGCAGCCCAGACTCAGGGAACAAACCATCCGCAGGTCAGCACACTCACCACCACACACGCCAGAAGACGAGGAAAAAGCAACGGGACAACGCGGCACCGCCAATCGGAGGCAGGGACGCGCACAGACCCCTGCACCGGCCAGACCGTCTGCACGCAGCAGCAGACCACGACGAGACGAGCAGCAGCGAGCCCGCAGAAGAGCCTACAGAAGAGGAGAGCGGCGGAGACACACGGGCCACAGCGCACGATCCGCAGCAGGTGGAGGGACGCGGAGGAGGAGCAGACCACAAGCAGCCAGACTGAGAACAGCCGGGTCACACGCGACGAGCAACACGTGAGCAGAAAAGCGACCCCTCCAGAACACCGCATGCAAAGCTTGAGAAGGCCGGGAATTGAGCGTCTCCGGCTTTTAACTTGCTGGCCTGGCGGTTATTGGTTGACTGGAAGTGGGTGTTGCTGTGCGATGAGCCGAGGATGAGAGCAGGCCTGGAGGAGCTGGGCAGCAGGCCAGGTCTACCAGGGTGAACTTACGCAAGCTTCATGTCACACACGCGACACACGCACACACACAGTAATGATCACAGTTTAAGCATCTACCTTTCGGCCAATCAGTGTCGAAGGGGCGTAGCCTTGATCACAGACGTTGGTTTAATGTTGACAATCGCCAGCGTGGGCCGTGCCCGCAGCACCATCACGGCAGAAGTTTGGTAAAGTAGCGTCATTTTCCTAGATTCGGACTTCCGCGGTCAATAGCTCACGAAAGCTACTTTGTTAAACAAAAGTAATTGTGCTAAAATGATCATCTCTATGTTGATTTTACAAATTCAATGCGCTGTTTTAATGCAGAGAAATCCTCTGAATCCAATGCACTGCAAGCGCCGAGAAAAGTACTTAGGGACCGTCAACAAATATCCAGACCAGCATTGTAAACGAACAATAGCTTTTACTGAAGCCACAAACCTGCAGTACCTGCACAAAACTCAGACAATATAAATAATGATGACCATATCGAACTGCTACAGACTATGATTTGTGAGTTTTTTTAATGAATACATATGTTTTTCTTTTTTTATTTGCTTTTACGGAAATTGGTCTTTACTGTAACATTCATAAATAATGTTTGTTACAGTGTTTGTCATTTTTTATATTTTTGTATTACTAATAAGAATGCATTAAGTCCTTAACCAGCCGAAGAGTTCCACCTATTTATTCAATTTCATTTTTGACTAAGGATTTGTTTTTTTTTATATGTAGTCAATAAATTACAATCTAAAAACTGTGAGTATGAAATTCCATGATTACTGTGTAGACTGAAATTAGGCAAGGCAAGCTTATTTATATAGCACAATTCATACACAAGGCAATTCAAAGTGCTGAACAAAACAAGAAAGCATTAAAATCATATATAATCACAGAACATTAAAAGGAAAGCTAAAAGTATAAAGTCCCTTAGTTGTATGCACAGCTAAACAGAACTGTCTTTAACCTGGTTAGGACTAAATTAGGACTAAAAAGTGCTCAACCCGATCCACCCAAATGGTGTCCCTTATTTTTTTGTTCTCAATTTGGCAACCCTAGTTGTGGTAATGTTGCACGCCCTCACTTGAACGTTTCTTTAGTTTCCCTTTGTGTGTGTGTGTGTGTGTGTGTGTGTGTGCGTGTGTGTGCGTGTGTGTGTGCGTGTGAGTGTTCACGGAGCTGCAGTGGGTGCTCTGGCCCATGTGCTTCTGCCGTGTGCGGCTGCGACCGACCTACCTAATTAATGCAGTTTTATCTATAACTAATTGGCTTTTAAATGCCCTTTTTAACTAGCTTTTTGTGATGAATATATATTGTTAAACCTTTATCCTTGCCTCTGCCTCAATATCATCGCCATTTGCAATCCTGAACCTGAAGTAACTAGGTACGGTTACAATATCTTATTGTTTTAACTTTGTATTTGACTGTTGTATTGTTTATTATGCTGACTGTGCAGCGCTTTGTAAACATTGTTTTTGAAAAGTGCTTCATTATTATTATTATATCGGAAGTTTTCAGTCCTCCCGTGGTTTGAAACACAGATTGATCGCTTCCTGTGTGCCTCGCCGCTCCCTGTGGTCGCCTGATCAGATCTTGGTTGTCAGTCCCCTCTCCGACAAGAGAAGTGGAGATGACAGGATATTTTCTGTTGTTGCCCATTTACGGAATATCCTGTTTCAATCTGCTGCAACAAAATGGATTCTGACAAGATCCACTCTCCAAAGTTTGTAGAGAAAACTGTAAAAGTGTGACATCATATAAAAGGGTTTTCTATTTTGTTGTGGCACCATGGAAAAGGTCCTGGAAGTCAAAGTCAAAAGTTTTTGCTGGAGTGCGTGTGTGGATGACGTATGTAGTGATGCTCAGAAACTCACGAAGAAGCCTGACTGTGTGTGTGTGTCTGTCTTTGTGTGTCTGTCTGTCTATCTGTGTGTCTGTCTGTGTGTGTGTGTGTCTTTATGCATATGTCTGTCTGTGTGTGTCTGTCTGTGCGTGTGTGTCTGTCTGTATGTATGTGTCTGTCTGTGTGTGTGTGGGTGTGTCTGTCTATCTGTATATGTGTGTGTGTGTGTGTATGTCTGTGTGTGTGTGGGTGTGTCTGTCTATCTGTATATGTGTGTGTGTGTGTCCGTCTGTCTGTATGTGTGTCTGTCTGTCTGTCTGTGTCTGTCTGTCTGTCCGTATGTCTGTGTGTGTGCGTCTGCGTCTATCTGTCTGTCTTTGTGTGTCTGTGTGTCTGTCTGTATGTGTGTGTGTTTGTGTGTGCGTCTGCGTGTGTCTGTCTGTCTGTCTGTGTGTTTGTGTGTGGCCTTTTGTACCTTTTGGACCTGAGGAAATACGGTGACTATTTTAGGTCCCCATTTTTCCATGCATACTATAGCGTTGTAAAGGCCCAAAACAAGCTAAAAAATCAAGCATGTCCCAAAATGTCTACAAATTGTGAAAATATATGTCGGGGCCGAAACACTCCGTGCCAAAAAGTTTGATACGCCCCTTATGGTCGTGCATGGAACTACCTTCAGACACTTTTAACACACACACTCGACCTCATATGTCACCTATTGTCTCACAAACTTAAATACATTCCCAGACGTGGGTAGAATAGCCAAAATATTCTCTCAAGCTAATTTAAAAACATACTTGAGTAGTGAATAACTGTTTGTACAAAAAAAAACTTTCAGCCAGAAGGGACCTTTCAGAGTGGAGTTTGCATGTTCTCCTTGTGTCAGTAGATTTTCTCTGGGCACTCCAGTTTCCGATATCACAAAAAATTGTTTTACAAAAGGTTCCCACAAAGCCTTCAAAGATTATTCTTACTCTTCAGGTGGATCTGAGTAATCTTTATTAATATACAGCTTCAGTCCTGGGTCAACAGCCGCTGTCCTGGGTCTAGAGTCTCAGTCGCAGTCCTGGGTCTACAGTCTCAGTCCTATAGCCACAGTCCTGGGTCTACAGCCACAGTCCTATAGCCGCAGTCCTGGGTCTACAGCCACAGTCCTGGGTCTAGAGCCTCAGTCCTGGGTCGACAGCCACAGTCCTTGGTCTAGAGCCTCAGTCCTGGGTACGTAGCCGCAGTCCTGGGTCGACAGCCTCAGTCCTGGGTCTCCTCAGCCTGAGTCCTGGGGCTCCTCAGCCCGAGTCCTGAAACTCCTCAGCCCGAGTCCTGGGTCTAGAGCCTCAGTCCTGGGTCTAGAGCCGCAGTCCTGGGTCTAAATCCGCAGTCCTGGGTCTATACAGCCGCAGTCCTGGGACTCCTCAGCCCGAGTCCTGGGTTGAAAGCCGCAGTCCTGGGTCTATAACCGCGGCCCTGGGTGTACAGCCGCAGTCCTGGGTCTCCTCAGCGTGAGTCCTGGGTCTCCTGAGCCCGAGTCCTGGTTCTCTACAACCTGAGTCCTGGGTCTCCTCAGCGAGAGTCCTGGGACTCCTCAGCCCGAGTCCTGGGACTCCTCAGCCCGAGACCTGGGTATACAGCCGCAGTCCTTGGTCTACAGCCGCAGTCCTGGGTCTAAAGCCGCAGTCCTGAGTCTCCTCAGCCCGAATCCTGGGACTCCTCAGCCCGAGTCCTGGGTCTCCTCAGCCCGAGTCTTAGGTCTCCTCAGCCCAAGTCCTGGGACTCCTCAGCCTGAGTCCTGTGTCTCCTCAGCCCAAGTCCTGGGTGTCCTCAACCCAAGTCCTGGATCTATAGCCGCAGTCCTGGGTCTATAGCCGCAGTCCTGGGTCTATAGC